ATTTGCCAGAGAACACCAAGATTGACAAATTCACCACTGGCGCCCTGTGCTCTTCACAGATGAAAGCAGGTTCGCGCTGAGCACATGTGACAGACATGATGGTCTGGAGACGCCGTGGAGAACATTCTGCTGCCTGCAACATCCTCCAGCATGACCGGTTTGGCAGTGGGTCAGTAATGGTGTGGGGTGGCATTTCTTTAGGGGGGCGCACAGCCCTCCATGTGCTCGCCAGAGGTAGCCTGACTGCCATTAGGTACCGAGTTAAGATCCTCAGACCCCTTGTGAGACCATATGCTGGTGCGGTTGGCCCTGGGTTCCTCCTAATGCAAGACAATGCTAGACCTCATGAGGCTGAAGTGTGTCAGCAGTTCCTGCAAGACGAAGGCATTGATGCTATGGACTGGCCCACCCGTTCCCCAGACCTGAATCCAATTGAGCACATCTGGGACATCGTGTCTCGCTCCATCCACCAACGCCACATTGCCCCACAGACTGTCCAGGAGTTGGAGGATGCTTTAGTCCAGGTGTGGGAGGAGATCCCTCAGGAGACCATCTGCCACCTCATCAGGAGCATGCCCAGGCATTGTAGGGAGGTCATACAGGCACGTGGAGGCCACACACACTACTGAGCCTCATTTTGACTTGTTTTAAGGACATTACATCAAAGTTGGATCAGCCTGTAGTGTTTTTTTTCCACTTTATTTTTTTTAAATAAAATTTTATTTGGGTTTTCACACACAAAATACAAGTAAAACATCTGTTTTGAAAATAGCATGGTCCCGGGTTGAACTTCTTTGTGCAGACACTAAACTCAATTTCATGCTCCTTTTTGTGTTCTATTCCATATCTTATACTATTCTACATTTTCTATATAGTTTTTCCCCTCTTTTAATTTTCTCAATTTTAATTTTGTCACACTACTGAGCCTCATTTTGACTTGTTTTAAGGACATTACATCAAAGTTGGGTCAGCCTGTAGTGTTTTTTTCCACTTTAATTTTGAGTGTAACTCCAAATCCAGACCTCCATGGGTTGCTAAATTTGATTTCCATTGATAATTTTTGTGTGATTTTGTTGTCAGCACATTCAACTATGTAATGAACAAAATATTTAATAAGAATATTTCATTCATTCAGATCTAGGATGTCTTATTTTGTGTTCTTTATTTTTTTTGAGCACTGTATTTTAATGTATTTTGTCAGGGAGCCTTAGTACAACATACCTACCACATGTAGTTAACAAAATAAGGGAACATTTACTTCCTTTAATGTTTCCACTGTTACAGTCCTTGACTTAGAACCACAATGGAGTCTGCAAATTATGGTCATAAAGCAGGTCAACATGTGACCAACCAAATTTCACCTATTTTTGCAGTGGTTGTTAAACCAATTGTGGGGTGTTTTTGTTGAAAACTAGAAATGCCTATTTTTTGCAAAAATGTCATAAATCACGCCATGACTATGGAGAACTGCAAATGGCCATCAGAATAGACTGGTTGTTGAGTGTACAAAATGTCATGTGACCAGGGGTGCAGCAGCCATTAGAACTTTGGAATCAGGCCCGAAGTATCTTTCTGGAGTCTTGTCAAAACTTTGAATGGGTGCTAAACAACCTGCCTTAAGTCAAGGGCTAATGGTACTACTTATGCTATAATTAGCATATGGTAGGGAAAGGATGCAGTGTGGCTTCTGGAATCACATGACCAGAAAGAAAGGAGAGGGAGCTCAGAATGGGAGACTTGGCAACATTGAGCCCAGCTATGTCTTCAAGAAGTTTCTCCTAAACTCGATCCATCTTTTACTAACATCTTCCCCTTCTTGCTGGCAAACTTGGTCCTGTTTTCATCAGTTTTTGAAAAGTAGGCAGGATTACTTGCCATGTGAATATAGAGAACAACTACAAGAGCTACAGGAGCTACAAGTTGAATAGCTGACTCTGACAGTCAGTTACTAACTTTAAAGATGAAGAGATGGAATAGAGTTATGATACAATCTAACACTGGAGATGTATTTTACTTTAACATTTCTAAATTATTTTTGATCAAAACAGAATCAGTATTGTGCATGGACATAAGTTACACTATAGCCAATTCAATTTAAGGCAAGTTAACTACCTTCACATAAATAAAAGAACTGAGAGATGAAAACTAAAATATAAAACCTTTTAGTATGCATGAGCAGAAAAAAGCCTTCTGTAGTTCTAGAAATTCTCAACAGGGTATCAGTACAGAAACGGTCCTTTGATAGCAGAAGTGGAAAAATTCTCAGATCTCATTTGAAGATCATAATGTATGGGTAGCTAGGTGTGGGGGGGGGGAAACTTTAGTTATTTAAAATTTGAGATTTTTTACTTGGATTCAGTTCTGCAGACTGGAGATTTGCCTCCTTTTCTGCTGGACATGGTAGGATCCAGCATTTAAACAGGGTATTAGCACAACTATAATTCTTTTTAAGAAATACAATTTTAAACAAGATTCAGAATTTATTCAGAGAATTGGGTTTGAAAAGCCATAAAAAGCTACTTTGTACAATTTGTTAGTGAAACACAAAAACAGGATGTTCTATTTTATAGAAATAAGATGTTTTGCTTAAATCGACAACCTGAACTATATTCTCTACAATTTGTAGAATGTTCTTTACATACTGGTTTTTCTTTGTTGGACCTTCCATTTCCTCCTCGTTGCTATTAAACAGTATTCCTTCATACAGCCTCCATTTGTACTATTACTAATTCTATTTCCTTCCCCAGATCTTTAATGAATCTAGAGGTAAGATTTTCCTTCCTTCTAAAACATAAAGACAGAACTGATTTTACAGCCTAGATGGAAAACACCAAGCCAGTGAATCTTGCTCAAGTTGAGCTAAAGCTTGTTCTTCTCCATCTTGTCCCCCTTCAGGCTCTGGACTTTGAAAAATCACCTGAGACATATTACTTGGTTATCCTGGGGTAGATAACAATGTCATCAGAATATTGAAAACATTTTACTCTGGGCCAGCAAATGATCTCAGCCAGCAGCTTCATGTGCTCATTACTCTCGTAGGTCCAAAAGGATACTGCAATTGAAAGCTGCTGAAATATTAAAGAATACTATGGAGACCACACCACTTCCTTTTCTAGAAGTCATCCACAAGCATGAGCAATGATTCTGTTTGGTCCCATATCCAGGTCTGAAACTTAACTGAAAGGGTCGAGATAATCCACTTCTTGAAGGTTCTCTCTTCAGCGCAACTCCCTTGCCAACAATCCTCCTTAGAAAGGGAAAGTTGGAGACAGAAAGAAAATGGTCCAATATGGCTGAGTCCAACAATGGTATCTTAATATTTCCTGAAGATGGATGATTCAGTACAAATGAAATTATGCAAGACATGGAAGAAGACGACATTTTATTGAAAATAAAACTAGGCCTGCTCTTGTGTCAATAATAGTGTCACAATGAAAATATCTCTGGTTATTTACTTATAAATCTATACCATATCCTGATTATTGTATTATACTCATGACTCATTTATTGTAATCACCTTTAGATTACAATTTGCCTTCTGTTCTATGCAATAACTGAAGGAAAAGAGCCTATGTGATGAACAGAGGATATCTCCAAAGCTTATCCAACAAAATTACAGTTGATGTGGATAAACAAAAAGTGGTTATTCAGTCACACATATAGACCATAAGGAACAGAGTTTTTCTGAATTACTCTGAAACATTATTAATAGCATAACAAAGAAAACCAGAACATAGAAAGCTTAAGAACAAGAATCAGAAATGACAATTGTATCATTTATATCATAACTGGATTACTCCTAGAATGTTTGGGAGATTTAAAATATTAAAGCAAATTATTCAATAATAACATCAGTGTAGAAGTACCTCTCTTCAAACAAATGGGGAAAGAGAATTTAGGACATTCCTCAAAATAGTCACAATGACTGTGGGCATTTGTGCTGAGTTACAATAATTTGCTCTGGCTTGGCTTATCTCATTTCAGTCAAATATTATTTGTTCAGAAAGTCATGAATTACAACTAAGGGACTCATTCTTTTAACTCAGTAGGTTTCTTATAATGATCAGGTCAGTATAGCTAAGAATTTAACTCCAGTTCTAAATTGGAAGAAGAATTTTGTTCTAGGTGTAATACTTACCTAGTGGTATGTCAATGGAAATTCTCAGTCATGGTTTTCCCAAAAGTGATTTTTCAAAAGGCAACTGGACTTTGTTTTTTTCCTTGAAGACATTTTGCTTCTCATCCAAGAAGCTTCTTCAGTTCTGACTGGTGGAGGATGGAAGTCGCAGTCCACGTTCTGGAAAGGATTGCTGGTTTGAAAGAGGGGTCAATCTACATTAAGATTGAACAGCCCTTTCTCAACAGAGGGAGAGGGATACGATATTACCTATCTTCTGTTTACAACACAGTCATTTCAACAGTTCTAAGAAGGTTCAACACCAATTTGCACTATTCAGGTGACCCTGAGGGCACAAATAAATCTCCAAGTAACCTCAACGACTCTCAGGGTGCTAATGACCAGTTGACCGCAAAGAACATAAATCCTTTCATCCTCCACCATTTAGTCAGAACTGAAGAAGCTTCTTGGATAAGAAGTGAAACTTCTTCAAGGAAAAAACAAAGTCCAGTTGCCTTTTGAAAAAGCACCTTCGGGATTACCTACTGGGAGAAAGCATACATTTACAGGGAAAATACCAACTGAAAAGAAATTCAACTTACAAGTAACAAGAAGGAAACGGAAGAAACAAGTAAGTTATCAAGATTCAACTACAGGTAGTCCTCAACTTACAATAGTTCATTTAGTAACCATTGAAAATTGTAGCATCTCTGAAAAAAGTGACTCATGACCAATTTTCATGTTTATAGCCATTGCAGCTTCCTCATGGTCATGTGATCAAAATTCAGACACTTGGTAACTGACTCACAGTTGCAATGTCCTTCTGACAAGCAAATTCAATGGGGAAGCTAGATTTGCTTAACAACTGTGTTACTAATGTAACAGCGGCAGTGATTCGCTTAACGACTGTGGCAAGAAAGGTAATAAAATGAGGCAAAATTCACTTAACAAATGTCTCACTTAGCAACATAAATTTTGGGCTCAATTGTGGTCATAAGGCAAGAGCTAACTGTATCACATTTTCAACTAAAGTGTCAGTGAAGCTGAACTAAACCTTATTTTGGGAAAAAATTGATGAGAGTTTATGTCTCTGTCTCTACCGTTTTCCTGCAACGTGTTTCGTTTAGTGTACAAAATTTAATAAATGAATAGAACTCTCATTAAAGTTTCTCAGAGTTAAATAATCTTAACTGGAATTTTGAAATGGAGATCTGAGGGGATTCTTGGATTCCAATGGTTTTGCTTGTGGGATAAAATATTTAGTAGTAGCTACTTCTGATGTTTCTCCTTTTGAGTTTCCTGGTACAATAGTTGGAGAACTGATGTACATGTTGTATAACAAAAACAGATCTTTACTTGAAACAAGAAGAGTTAGGTCAAAAATTCATTTAAACCATAAAGATCACTAGATAACCTTTGGTCTATTAACTGGCTGTCACACATAGTAAGCTAAATCACACACTAACCAACCCCAGTTTAGCCCAGAACACATCTGACATTTATTCAATACGCTCGTATGCTCAGTTAGAAGTTTCAAACAAAAGTACTCTTCATTAATTTATTGAAGGGTCAAGTACATCAGTGCCATAGTTTCGTTTGTGGTTTAATTTTGGGCTAATGTTTTTTTTAACATTTTTTTCCTCCTAGAATCAAAAGTTTGAATTCACTCTTAGTTAAAAGACGCCTCCTGCCAATACAATATCAAAGAAAACTGAATATTTGCCTCAGACCAGCAATATCTCTTTATCTGGAAAAAGTTTCCAAGATTCCAAGGGATTTGCTCCAAATTTTAAAGCATTAAACAACATTAATTACAAAGAATCTAATCATTTCTTATACTGAGCAAAATACATCTGAATGTTTTTGTTCAAATTTATCCTGGAATTATTCTGTTCATTAGACTTGAATGAAGGCAAAAGAAAACATTGTGGTAAAAGTAGCACCATCTTTTACAGCCAGTAAAGGAAGGAAACAAAAAACAAGAGGCCCAAATAGTGAAAACAAATATCTCCAAAGGCATCCCTGTATATTTTGTATAGTTCCTAATAGGGGAGTGAAGCTCTTTGAATTTGATCTCCAAATGTGCTTCAGAGAGCTCTGGACTGCAAACACCTGAAAGCAGTTCCATCTTTTCCTTGTGCAACTGTAACGGGCCCAGGAAATAGTCACAGCTGCTGTAAATTATTTAAACAGATGCTACACTCATGCTCCAAAGCCCTTTTGAAAATAGGAATTAAGACTATGAAGCACATTGGATTGTGTGTTGGAGTATAGGCAATGAAACAGAAATGTGGATCAGGGGGAAAAAACCATCAAAGCCTATTGCTCTTTCCCCCAATCCTTCATATCTGTAGGCAAAAGATATAAATGAAGTTCTTTTCTTGAATATTTCTTTCTTCATCATTCACGACAGTAACATAACTTGACAGCTGCAGAGATAACTCTCTTCTAATATAAAATATGAAGATGTGGATAATTCATTTGCAAGCAGAGCTATTGATGTCTTTAATATAAATTAATACTCCCAAATCATAATTTATAAGGATTACCTAGAAAACTAGAACCTAGAAACATAGAAAAACTGGCTAAAGGATTTTAGCACTGTAACTTCAATTCCATCCTATCCCGAGGATTGGCAACATAATAAATAACAGCATAATAAATCATCTGATGACCAAAGAATAATAGGAAGACCAGCAGTCTTCACTGTGCACTTGTGCTGACAACATCTACCTAATGCAGATGGGTATCATCTATATCATCTACCTAATGTAGAAGATGATCCAGGTTGTGCTTAATCTGAGGAGATTACTTAAGGAAGTTGTCTAATTTAGACTGATTGATGCCAGAAGCAGAAGGCATTATTCCTGTTTGCTTTGAAATAATTCTTTTCTTGTTCTTCATAGTCAGGGGCCGAATCTCTGTTGGAAAAGTCTAAAACAAGTCAAGGAAAAGTCAAGGAAAAGAGTCAAATATTTAAAGCAAAAATAAAGCAAATTGGTGTTTTCCAGATGTCTAAAATACCTATGAAGGTTAGGAAAGCACCAAGTTAGGAAAAGCTCATCTAGACTATTTCAAATGGGAACTAATTGGATTGTTTTGATTCTAGGTAACAATAGTAAAATTTTCTAGATTTATCTTCCCCCACTAACTATAGATGTTTATAGCAAGACCGTTTGAATGAATTCGAAGTAATTATTACATAGAGATAATTTTCCTCTCAGTAAATTCCATTTTCCCAGCTGTTCCTGATGCTGAATAAATTGCAGGGCAAAACTATTTTGAATAAAATGTGTTCTCTAAATGTCTATGAAGATTCTCAGTCATCCAGGTCTTGGTTGGCCCAAAGGTGCTTTTTTTCAAGAGGCAACTGGACTTTCTGGTTTTTCTTTGAAAACGTTTCAAAGAGGGGTCAAAGAGGCCATCTATGTCAAAATTGAACAGCCTTCTCTCTTGGGGCGGGGGGATACGACATCATCTATCTCCAATCTATAACACAGTCCTTTCAAAGTTCCAAGGCGGCTCCACACCAATTTGCACCACTCAGGTGACCCTGATGACACAGATAAACCTCCAGGTGACCTTAACAACAACCACTAAAAGAATGCGAATGATCAGCTGTCTGCAAGGAGTATAAATCCTTCCATTCCCCACCATCCAGCCAGAGCTGAAGAAGCTTCTTGGATGAGAAGTGAAATGTCTTCAAAGAAAAACCAGAAAGTTCATTTGCCTCTTGAGAAAAAAAAACACCTTTGGGACAAAATGTGTTCTCATTAAAAGTAATCTATATACCTCAGCAACAGGTCTAAAACTGGAAATCAGTCTTAACTTCTAATTAGTTAGCATAAAGGATACAGGCTGAATGAACTTGGTTCTGCCTCCTAAGCCATCATACCCAATTCTTACCTAGAAAAGAGAATTTAGTAATTACTTTGAGGAAGATGTTAAAAAGGGTCAAATACTATTTTGATCAGGTAATCCTAATAATGCAGACAACAACACTAAAAATTTCTCTCCAGAACATCTGAACTTGGGTAGGACTGTGAAAAGACTCTAAGAAACTGAATAAAAATGTATGGGTGAAGACATAATTTATGGGCACAGTATCACTTGTAAGGGCTTTAAAGTTCAACATCAGACAGGCTGCTCAGAGTCACGAACACTTAGATAGGTGGCAAATAAATTTAATTAATAAATAAAAATGAAATAACTGTGTTCCAAAGGAAATTAAAAGTCAGTAAAAATGGCACTAGGATGATATGGTCTACTCTAAATGTAAAAAATGACAGACTGGCCACATTTTCAAACCTTATAAAGATGTATCAAGCAGCCTCAATCATATTAAAATGACAAATGTTGATATACAGATAGCACTGGAAGAAAGAAATATGCTTTCTTTTCAAATAATGAAAGAAGTACCAGGAATGACAGCTACAATTAGATTCTTTTGTTGCACACTCTAATAGCAAACTGAACATTGTCAAGATTATTACTAAATCAACATGGTGATACCAGTAAGGTTAACAGAATTTCAAGGTTGGGTAGGTATTAAAATATTATGAGAAAAATTAAAATTCCAAGACCCAAGATCTTCATAATTTAACCATAGTATTGATCAGAAACCCTTAAACACTGTGCCCGTTGTGTTAATCACATTTGAATGATACTTACAATTCCTGTATTTTTCTGGTGTATGCTGTTTAGAACAGTTTTCTTAGTCAGGATTGACTTTCTTATAAAAGAAGGTAAAAGATCTTCTAGATGTTCATCATCTGTGTCAGTAGAGCAGTTCTGTTTTTTAAGAAGTTTAATGTATTAATACTTAAAACTAAAATTAATGTATTTCCATGTATACAATATTTAATAGGCGATGAGTATGTGGCAAGTCCAGTGTTGTGGCAAAGAAACCAGCTTTTGCTAATATTCTTTGAGAAAACCATTTTTCTTTAAATAACAGCTTTAACGTTTTCAAAGTCAGTAGCTCAGGTCCCAGCAAATAGATAACAGAAAACAGAAATCAGCAAATAAATAAATAAATAAATAAATTCAAAGCTGGCTCACAGTATAGACCTCAGGCCTCAATCATAGCATTGATAGATATACCACCTAAAACATGTGTTGCAGTGAAGTCAATAATTAATGTTTGAATAAAACTATATTTTTATACAGCCTTGAAGAATGAGTAGAAGCAATTATAAACAAACTCTATTACTAAATGTATTAATTACTGTACCTCCATTGTTCCTTTGACTCTTGATAAATTTGTCACAGATGCCCTAAAATAAACATATACAAAGAGCACAGTGTTAATAGTTGCCACTTAGATGTCCTAAATTAGTCTCATTCTAAGTCCAGAAAGTCCAATTGTGTCTTGAAAAAGCACCTTTGGGATAACCATGACTGGGATGACTGAGAATCTCCATAGACATCTCATTCTAAGCTTTCACCTAAAAATAAGCCATCTGAAGACTAAATGAAAACCAGTGAATGCCATGGTGAACTGACCTCCCTAGAACAGAGGGACAACACAGTAGCTGAAAATAACATCTGAATGCTGGATTCACTGTTGAAATCATTCTAGAGAAAGAAGATATCTCCAGATTACCCACATCTACTCCAAACAGCTTTTTTTTTTTTTTGCTCAGCAGGTGGCAGAAACTGTGTTTGTGGTCAGCTTGCAATAGGCTGGAAGTTGAAGGATTTCATCTAGTGTAAAGCTGCTAATGTAGCCTATATGGATGCTAGGTTTGGTCAAGGCACACCTCCTAATAATTTGGATTGAATTTTTTAAAAACTTCTTAAAAGATTGAGACCCTTTAGATTGGCAAGCCTTATTGAAAACACTGGGTGAGTTTTCTTCAATCCTTAAAAAAATAAGTTTTAACTACAAATTTAAAGATTTATCAAAAATAATAGTGAGAGAATATGCAGCAAAAGGATCATTGGCTTTAGAAAGTTTTAAATGGATTAAGATTTTTGAAGTTAATTGAAAGAATCCTTCCCTTGGGGAAATATAGGTTTATATTTAAAAACAACTGATGAGATAATCTTGAACGTTGAACACTAGAAGGCACTGAAAAAAATGGATCAAAAATGGACCTTAAGAGAGACCTACGATGAATGGGCACAGAAAATTATAAAGTTATTTACTATGACAAAAAAATTAGAAGACATAGAAGAGGAACAGGCCCCATTGAATAAAATTGAAATTGAATTGAATGTAGACTCAAAAATGATAGCCTATAAGAAAAACTGAATGATTATTTAATAATTTAAAAAGACATACAGATATTAAACCAGAATTCAAACTGAGTTTAGCATATTGTTATTTGTGAAAACTTTGTGATTAAAGTTTATTTAACAAACTTTCTGATTAGTATGAAGCAATGAAGATTTAGAAATTGGTTTATAGAGAATAGAGTGAGGTATGGGATGAAGAGATGTTTGGTTTTACTATAAGAAAGACAAATGAGTTGCTCGTGTTGATCATACTTGCTGTGAATGAAGGGGGGATTTCTTATTCTTATTTTATTTTTTTGCCTTTCTATAAAACCCTTTTCTTTTTTATATATTTCTATGCTAAGTAGATTGTATTAGTTCTAGTTCTATAATGTGATCTTCAATAAAAAATTATTAGTTGGTTGAGAAGAATCACAGAAAGGAGGAAAATACCTAGGACTCATAGAGAAAATAAATGTTACTGCAGTAAGCTCTGACTTTTACTGTTCCTGCTCACAAAATAACATACAATCTCAACAACAACAAAGGATTCAGAACATCTGTTGTTTCTGCATTACAGCTAGTCTTCATTCTTTGGCTGAGGTCTAACAATCCCTCTCTCCTTCCTCTTGATTCATTCGTTGTGACAGGAATTGTTGCAGAACCTGATGTAATGAGCTTAGAGTGAGTGACTGGCTCAAAGTCACCTAGCCAGCTTTCATACCTAAAGCGGGAAAGTTTCCTCATTTCTAGCCTGGTGTTTTAACTACTAAATCAAACTGAGCTAATTCTTAAAATAGGGGAGTAAATGTACTCCTGCTTTTGCCTTTAGTGTTCTGCTGAAATACTGTATAGATAAAAGTCTGGTTAGTAATATATTAGTAAGCTAGTTTAGTATAGGAAATTTATGAGTCATAGATTATTTAGTATGAAATTGAAGTAACATGTATTTGTATCCTTCTTCCATGTATAACTCTTCATTTTTTCTATTGGGCTTCAATTATCTTTAAATAGTGGACCTGCAAGTTACAAATTGTTCTTTCAGCACTCTGTGATGTGAAACAATTGAGATGGCTTTTGTAAGACATTTATAGAAATCAGAAAAATAAGGGCAATCGTGTTTATAAATTCAGTTCTATTTGAGTCATGTTTCTGCAGAGCTCAAGAACTGCTAGATTACATTTTATTCCTAAAGCTTAGCCATGGAATTTTAGATGATTGAAAAAACTTGTTCATGGCATTTGCATCAAATGGAATATGAGGCAGATTGAGCAAATACAGGGATAATAAAAGTAAAGAAATTGTACTTACGAGTTTTTATCTAGCTTGATTTTTTTGGCAGGAGCAACAGCTTTCTTACGAGACTTTGGAGTCTCTACGTCAAAAGTAGCATTAAGGTCAATCTCATCAGTGTGAACAGGTTGATGAAACTTTGGGTTCAGAAATTGTGCAGGAGCAGGGCTGTAAGGATCAATTACGCAAATATCACAACAGAGTATAACATGATCAAGTGGACAACAACATGAGTGCATCCTTCTCTGCTTCTAGCTTATTTTCGCATGCTATCACCCTGAAAGTTAATACTGATAGAAAAAGGAAAAGGCCACACAAAAGAATAAGTGAAATCCTGTTTAGAAATAAGTCAATGAACAAGTATTATATGTTGGATCCTGGCTATGTGTATCTTTATACCCCATCTTAATATTCTGGAAAACACACCCACCCACCCCATTCATCTCTCTCTCTCTTTTATTATTTTACAAATGACTAAAGGTAGGAAACTTATCCAACATGACATATCCAACAGATATTGCTACCCTGCCTCATCAGGGCAGGCCAGTGTTCCTGGGAGGGATGAGCAAAAAATACTGGGGGTGTTCAGTAACAGTATATACTCAGAAGAGTACCAGAAGAAATTGAAGAATTGAAAGTTATGGATTTTTTTGTTCTTTGAGTTGCCTCACTCACAATGTTAATAAACATAGGATATTAGAATGACTCATTTAAATTACACTAAAAGTAGAAAACAATAAAAAGAAGATTCCATACATCCAGACAAGGTACGACATATAGTAGAATATATTACTAACAACCCAGGGATGTCACTTGATGCATACATGACTGGTTCTAATTATAATATTTTAGGAATATTATGCAAAGACAGGATGACAAGTCTGTTGAGAAAGGTGGAAAGAAAGAAGGGAGCCAGCAGCAAGGACTTGATTAAAGTAGCAATGGGTACACCACTGCAAATCTTGAAGGACCAGGTTGGGTACAAATGAAATGATCCCGGAGAAGCTCTGTTTATAAGAGGTTCTACATTACCACTGCAATTTTGTTAGGATTATATAGATATTGGTATGGTAAATGGCAAAATACTGAAGTTAATTAAAAGGATCAAACTCTCTTAAAAGGAAAACTCTCCTCCCCAAATATTGGAATACCACTGCCACTCAGATCATTACTGGACTAAATGGCCAAGTTAATTGACAAGATGTAAGAAGAAACTTCATAGTTTTGAAGAACCTGGCTCAACATTTTACACATGTCTGCATATATTATACACAGCTTAGGCATAATATCTTCATTGTTTCAAATGTTAATGTTCTCCCTTTGCTAACCTTTCAGAGACAAGCCGGCTAAGTGCTTCACTGGTTAATGATGGTACTTTTATGGTATCTTGTAGGACTCCTATCTTTTTTTTCAAGCTCTGGGGAAAAAAGTAGAAATTAAAAAAATAAAATTTATTAAAGTCAAGATATATATTTCCTGTTTTATGTTGATTCTGTGTTGATATTTAGGAAGAGAGATCTGCATGCTTTCACTTCAGTGGGAAAAAATATTTGAAAAGAATGTTAAGTTATGAGTACAGAGCACAAATAATGCATTGAATAAAAGTTGAAAGAAAAGTTTTACCGTAATCTCCTTATCTGCATTTCTCAGATCTGTCTGTGTATTTTTCAATTCTTCAGTTGTTTTCTCCAACTCTAGAACAGTTTTCTGGAGCTATAGATTAAAAATTATGTGTCAGAGAAACAGAATTCAATGAGGAATAAAATTACACATAGTTTTATGTATCCCAAAATTACAATAATTTACTTAATAAAAGCATATTCCGAAATGCAATGTTTTAAAATGTATCACATTATAACAGAAACCTGAAAGAGCCATCTTGAATGTGAACAGCTTACCTATGAAAGAATAATTTCTTATCCTATCAAACTGCCTGCAGAAGAAATTTTAGGGAGGCTCATGAGAAGCTATCAATGCATCCTTTATTACTTGTAAATGTAGAATGATTTTTTGTGATCCCCAGCATGTGCTCAAATTTTTTTTTTCCAGTCTTCTGTTCTATATCTTGCCCTAATACCCTCCAGATAGTTTATGTGGTAGGATGGGCAGAAAGAGAATGACCCAAAAGTTATTCAGTTAATTTTCATTCCTGTGTGTAAATTTGAACTTAGTCTTCTCCAATTCCAGTTGAACACTTTAACCACTAACTTTATGCAATTTTGTGTGTGTGTGTGCGTGCGCATAAATATTATTAAGACATGCCTGTACTATGTACAATGTATCAATATTGAAGCAGAATAATATTTCAATATATTTCAGTGACCTATAGATTAAAAGGCATGTACTCTGCTCTCTCTGGTAGTTGTGATGTTTATGTCAGTGACTTGGGAGCTTGACTGGCTAACGATATTTCCTATACATGCTTTTGGGATTTATTGTATAAGAGATGTTGCTATTTTAATCATTCCCGAATAGGAACAAATAAGCACGAAAAACAGGATTTAAAGGGTGATTTTTCTCCCTACAGCTTTTCACAGAATTACCAAGAAACCAAAGGTGACCCAACCTCCAATTACAAATTACTTTTACCCAAGCACCCCGGAACACGATATAGAGGAAAGGTGCAATTGCTCAGCATCATTAAATAGTTCTATTCTATCTGCCATTCTGAGTTAATCTTTTAGGCTCACATTCCTTGTATTAATTCTGAGCATCCTCAGAACAGAGCATTAAGGCACATCCTAATTAGGACATGTGTCTCTCTTTATTCCACTGAGATAGTGTTATTGTGAATATTTCAGGCCAGTCAGTGCTTAATTAAAGAGGCCAGGAAAGGAGCAGTTATATGTTAACTTGAAATCACTACTAACAAATAGTTGCTGACCCCTTCTGGCTGACCTGTGAAAATGTTGTCCTCACTGGTGACACAGATTTTAATAAGCAAAAATTGATTGGTATAAATCACACTTCATTAGACTTTTCTCTTTTGTGTGTGCGTGCAGAAATTGATGAACAATATGCTAAGTATTGGGTAAATTGGGTAAATGGACAAACTGATGGATGAAACAGTGACAATTTTAATTAGAAGGGTTCAGTTGAGCTTAACTTGTTAATCCAGTTAACAAGTAGTTACCAAATTGACTATGCCATTGGCCAAACAAATATGTATTTAGGTGACAGTACACAGAATGAATTTCAAATAGATGCACTGCATGTGTCTGCAGGAATATTAAAGCAACCTTTTACCTTATGATTAGCAGAAAACAACTCCTTTCTCAGTTTTTCCACTGTATCATTTGATGCTTTCTGAGATTCCTTCAGACTTTCATACTCCCTGAAAGAGCCACAACTAGTCAGTCAACCTATGGAATTTGTTTCCAAGGAAGTACTTAAACTGACAGAATAAAGCCAGTAAACAAATATGCAATTCATTATTTAAGTGGCTGCAAAAGTTCCTGTTACATATAAACAAGCAGTTTCAGTGTTGAATAGGCCAGCATTGATTTGCACAGCATTAACACACTGACACCACTGAGAAAGTGAGAAAACACACTTTCACAAGGGAGCACTGTTAGGTTTGGAACAGGTATTCAAATGGCAGAAAAGCATATATATCAAAACTCAAAGTGAACACTTTACTTATATGCAATGTTTTATATTCTACTGAATTCACACCTCACTGAAATGATATGTAGCAAGACTGAAATGATATGTAACTTGCTTTGGTTTAAAAAAAAAAGTTTAGGCTGTGAAATCATTTCAGCAGTATTATAAAACAGTGCTGAAGCTATTGGTTACAATGCAGATACTTCATGATTTAGCTCATTATTAAAAGTTGTGATTATCCATTTGCTAATGTTGCCTGCACAAGCTGCAAATTAAATATGGTATAAATAGAAAGACCTCTCACACACCCTGTAGGGACCAGCAAGTACACTGTACTTATTGTGCCACAGCTACACAAAGTGCTTTGCCCTGCACAGGGGAGATATTCAGAGGCCAGGCTGCATTACTCAGAATCATTACAATCATCCATCTCTTCCATTCCCATCAAACAATCACCTCCTAAAAAAACTGGCAAACCTCTAAAAGCAGTTTCCATAGCAATGATGTGCCACTAATACAACAATAGTATGCTTGCTGTGTTGAAAATCTACCCTTTTATGCTACCTTGGGTAGCAGCAGGGCTCATGCTGTAGAACAAACTGCCAGCAGGAAAAGGGCTCAGAATTTGTTTATTCATCCAGATCCTTTAATAGCTCCAAAATTTAATTTTTATAGTTTTTTAAAAAATATTTTTTTAAATTATGAAAAAACTAAATTTTTATAATATTGCTGTAATCCTCCCAGAGCCCTTAAGGGAAGTGGACAGCATTTGCTAAATAAATAAAACATACTATTTGAAATCCAGTCTGTAGCTAAGAGTCTCAACATTATTCTTATTTCTAACTCCTGTTGCTTTAGAGCAGGGGTGTCCAACCTTGGCAACTTTAAGACTTGTGGACTTCAACTCCCAGAATTCCTCAGCCAGC